TATAAATATTTGAAAAAAATGCACATATTCTAATGCATACATTCTAATAATGATAAAGCCAATGAACATCAAAATTTAACCAGTACATGTACCTGCATGCACATGTAAAGTACAGTTCATCTATATGAACACTTGATATCAAGTTACCCATTAAAATCTTTTATAAGTACTCAATAGACAAAATTAAGGCATCATCTGGTGTTTACGGAAGCCCATTAGTGCCAACCTGTATATTAAAGAAAAAGCCATATATAAAAGCAAACCTTTGTATATAGAGGAAATGCGAAATATATAAAACAAAACCTGGAAACATAAAGGAAATGCGAAATATAAAAATAAACCTCGAAATATATATTTTGAAGTTTTGCTTTTATATTTCGCATTTCCTTTATATGTTTCCAGGTTTTGTTTTATATATTTCGCATTTCCTCTATATACAAAGGTTTGCTTTTATATATAGCTTTTTCTTTATATATATACAGGTTGGCACTAATGGGCTTCCATCGGTGTTCATATAATAACCCAAAATATACTAGAGTATAAAAAAATATCTCAAAACAACTCACAATTCTCTCCTCATAACCCTTACATATTGTTTATATTAACAAAGGATACTTCGTGACAGGTTACCCTTTCAACATGACCCTTTTTAGAAAAAAATTTACAGGTGGGATTTCTATGAGTCCAGAATATACGAAATCCTAAGTCGTAAAGATCCTTGAACAGACTTAAAGCAAAAAAGTATTTATCCCTTGGAGGTTCTTCTTTAAACCGTCTACTTCGGTCAGGTTTTAGTGTGACATGAAACTCGATTGCCATTTGGCGGATGTCTTTGAGAATTCCTGTTTCCAGCATGTTTGGAACGGCTAAGTATTCATACTCCTCAATGTCTATCTTCAGAACATCTATTGGTCGCTAGATAAAAGAAAAACCAGTATTTGTAAAAACCACAATGTTCAATTAACTTTAAACAATAGATCTTATCAGTATAATTACAATGTTCTATTTTTTGGCAATTTTGTAGCCTTGATGTTGTCATTGCTATAAAACTATTAGCTTTGTAGTTCTTGAGAGAAGTCTTTTTTTCTCGAAAAGACCATTAGATTTTCCCCAACATACTAGATGCTCCCTATGACCCCTATCGTGCCCAGTCCAAGCCCAGAGGGCAGGGTGGGGGTTGATTTGAACAAACTAGAATCTGCATTACATGAAGAAGGCAGTACCAGTATATGAATTTGATTATGCATCTGTCATCCTTAAGAAACGTTTTACAGAAGCATCCCTATATTCTTATGGAAAACTTTCACCTTTTATCATTGTCCTCACATGCTTGGGCCATGATTTGATAAAATTTGAATTATAATCATAACAGAAAGCCTCCTGGCTCTATAACAGTTTTGTCACTTCTGATCCAACGGTTTTGGAGTAAACAATTCTTCAACAGCCCATTATAATTTTATCTCCTTTTGAAGGACCAATGTGACCCATCATTTGGAGAAACTGGATTTTTTTTCCCAGAGGATGCTTTGAGGCAAGTTTGCTTGAAACTGACCCTGTGACTTTTGAACAAGAGGACCAAGGTAAACAATGCTCACATGAGTAACTTTAGCCCTGCTATTTTCCAGATTTTAAAAAAAGATTTTTTATTCTCTCAAAAAGTAATTGTGAGCCCTGCATATTATAGCCCCACTCCAACTTCATGGGTTCCTGAATCCACACAACATGGGGATGCTTCAATATCAATATGGTCTTATAGTTATGGAGAAGAAAATTCAATAAAGAATACCATTTCCAAAGGACACTTTGAGCCTAGTTTATTTAGAATTGGCCCAGTGGTTCTTGAGAAGTGAAAAGTTTACAGACTACAGACAGATGGACACATGGATGCTGGACAACAGGTGACCAGAAAAGCTCATTTGAGCTTTCAGCTCAGCTAAAAAGAAGTCAAATTTTTTAACATAACAAAAAATTGTGAGAATAGAACAACATTAGGCATTTAGAATGAAAATTAAAGCTCAGCAAACAATATTTCAAAAAAATCACCCGCTTTTCACATCAGTCCATGTAGATGTATCATGATAGTTCTCCAGACATAATAAACTAGAGGTACTGTGGTCACTGAGCTCACAAAATGATACCCCCCATATGACTTATTATGAGTATATTTTTGGCTATGGAAAAGTCCAAATATCTGTCCAATCAAAACTTTAAGTAGGAGGTGTTCAATGACACTACGTAATAAAGATTCTTAAAAATTATCATTAAATTTTGTTCAGCGGTATAGGAGGAATTGCGGAAAACCAATGGGTACCCCTGAATTAAAGTGTCAATGTTTTGCTATCGAAAAACCTGAAATATGTGTCCAATCAAGAAGTAAAATATGTGGTACACAATGACACTGTGTAATATATAAGATTATATGAAAGCATCATTAAATTTTATTCAGTTGTACAGAAGGAGTTGCGGATAAGAGATGGGTACTATATCCCAGATTTTATAAAAAGAATGGCAGTGTCCATGCTTTGCTAAGGGAACCTGAAATATATGTCCAATCAAAAAGTAAAACAGGAGTTGCACAATGGCACTATGATTTTGTGAAAGTCTCATTAAATTTTATCCGTGGTATAAGAGGAGTTGCAGACTGGAGATGGGTACCCCAAAACGTAACGAACGGACACTCCCATCACAATACACCAACCTTATATACATATACGCTTTTCAAGTGGGGTGGGGTGGGGGTATAAAAACTATTAATACTTGGAGCATTTGTAAATTCCTTTTATTTGAGACCAGCACCAACACCAACAAAATTTTCAACAACATGTTAATCTCATGTTTTTCACAATGCATATTAAGACACTACACTGAAAGTATAAACATACTGTTATAAAGGAAACTGAGCACTGGCATGTATTAAGGGTAACATATATTAAAAAGCTTTTGATTCAAACATTTGATAATGCAAAAAACACCATTTTACTGTGCTAGAAAAATTATTGGTGGATACAGTATATTTTAAAATGTAGATTTAACTGTATAAAGTGCAAAAAATATACATATATCTTAAATATAAGTTAAAAAAATCACTGTAAAATACCTTAAACAATGATAAAAGAGGTCATATGCCACATACTGCTCATCTCAGTCACCTTGCTCTCACAAAAAAAACACCAAAGAATGATTTCAGTATTGGAATAATACTGAGACTATGATTGCACATACTTAAGTACATAAAATGCTTTGAAATTTGACTAAATGTTTCCACTTTAAAACTTCGTTTTTTTTCCCTTTTTTTGACCTAAACTGTGGCCTCATGGCTGCATTTCATTTCTGGCAATTTTGAAAATCTACTACTTTTCCTTTCCAGTATTTTATGCCTTTCATATCCAGAATTTAATAAAAGTACTTTTCTGGCAATCTAATTCATGTGGAGACTTTCACATTAAAATCTAAAAGAAATAAAATCAATGACACCCAAATACCGTAATATTTTAAAGAAACTAATGTAGATTTCATCTATGTGAACATGTATGTGTTGTTCAACGTTTGCTTGATCATGAACGATTCAAATCAACATATTTAGTTCAAGTTTGATATCAGACAGGTTAAGATGGAACCCATAAACAGAAACTATTTAAAAAGTATCATCAAAAAAATCTTTTAAAGAATGGAGACAGTGCATGTGTATGTAGCCAAGGAAAAAAATGTTACAAATCTATATGACTAGTAATGAAAAGGTGTAATTAAATCAATGCAGCTAAGCTGAAGCTCACCACAATGTGTTTGAAAAAAAAAAAGAAAAAAAAAACTAAATTGGGCCATCTTAAAAAAAATGTTTCTTTTTTTAACCTCCCGGAAATGATTTTTTTTTTGGTTCATTCCTAAATTTTCTCATACTGTCAACATGTATTTTAATTTTAAAAATACCTTTTATTTTAAAATATTTGAAAATTCACCATTGATGTTGAAATTTTCTAGGAAAAAAAATTTCCCACCTACCTACCGACCCAACTTACCTTGGGTCAGGAGAGGGCAAACAAACATTATTTTAAAGATGGCTTGGGCAATATATCTCTTTAAAAAATTCCAGATATGTGAAAAATAAATGAAGAAATGAAAATAACAATGATGAGCACAATGCCAGAAATGAAATGCAGCAGGCCTCATCTAGCCACTAAAACTGGGTTTCTAGGACTAAATGATTTTCCATCACATTTATATATACCGGTACAACTGGCCACTCCCTAGCCTCATGGGCAAGAGTAAAAACTCATTGACACTTTATAGTCTAGCTACTGACATTGAATTGAGGAGTCTAAAAAAATTTCACCATATTTAATACAATCATAAATATATGCCAGAATGCTTTCTCTCTCTAGTTTAGTTGAAAACAGTTCAATGAAAACAATCTCTAGTTTAGTTGAAAAGAGTTCAATGATTCCATGAAGTTGAAAATGAGAAATAACTAATACACTGTATCAAACAGATGAAGAGGTACAGGTGTAAAGACAACTTTATTCAGAAAATCTCACCTGAGCCTCTTCATTGTGTGATCTAATCACCAAGAACAAATTAAAGTCATCAAAAGTTACACAATTTAGTAATACATGTACCATCTACATTTCATTATAAAAAAAATGATGTAAAATATAAAAATACAAATCCACAAGTGTTTGTCTCAAGTTAAACTAAAACTTTAAAATCATGAAAAGTCAGTGAGTTCAATTAACTAAATCATAATAAATTCACAGTGGCAAAATAAAGAAAATCTTTTCTAACCCCAGGAGATTTCAGATTGACTGACGGGTGACTAGACAGTCTTTGCCAAATCAATGCATGCATAAGCAGCAACTGTTACAGTAAAGCTCTATGGTAAATACAATGTATTTAATTTAAAATCTGATCATTTAACAAACAATGCAAATACAATGTATATATATATCACTCATGACTAAATTCTAGGCATCAGTTACAATATTCACCCCCCCCCCCCCCCCCCCCCCCCAAATACTGGGTAAGTCCCTAGGGCACTAAAAAATTGAAAAAAGGAAAGATGGAGATTATAAAATATGCCATCAAGTCAAAGTAAAATGCTGAATTGGTTGGGTGAAATTTCAATGAACACATTGAAGTATATACATACATCAGAGAGGTAACTGTGTAACAAGTATATCTTTCATGCACCTGTGAGGGTGACTAAAAGAAAAGTTTTTCAATGGGAATTTATATATAATTTTCTTTGGTCATGGATGGGGTGGGTGTCACTGTAAATTTCCCTATTACTTCCTGAGATGGAGATTTCATTATAAGCTGTATCATAAACTACACATAGCTGCATTTACAAACCTGTATCCCTACATCTCACAATTCAGTTAATTTCTCAAACAATATCATATTCTTTTTTTTATACAAATTTCAATAGCTGCATATCTACAATGTAAAATATAGATGTAATTTAGTTCTTCAGATGAAATCTCTATTGGACTTAGCAATAACTTGGTAAAATTTTCAAAAAAATGTTCTGATGAATATGTCTATAAACTAGAACACTGACCAGTCAGCAAGGGACCATGCAGCTACTTGATATTATAAGAATGGAGTTGTGGATGTAATAACTTGATAACAACAAAAAATATGTAAAAATACAATAATTAAATAACTGGGCCCATGGGCCACAACACTCACCTGAGTAACTTTAGCCCTTCTGTTCTGAAGATTTTGGAAAGATTTATATATTCCCATGAAAAATGGTGACCCCATACTATGGCCCCACCCTAATTCTGCCCCATCCTAACCCTAAGGGGTCACTGAATCCACAGAACATGGGGATACATGTACTACAGTATCAATTTGACTTATGTGGCCTTGCAGTTATGGAGAAGAAAATGTATAAATGCATTCTTTCTACTTAATTACCATGGCAACACCGTTTTTCAGAATCAAATACTGATATATAGAATTATGTATACTAGTGTAATCTTCTTGGGTACCAAATTTTATTGAAATTGTGCCAAAAACTATACTAGGAGGAGTAGCATTTTGATAAATTCTTTACAGACAAGAGAAAGACAGAAAGATAGACAGATGGTGGAAACCCTACCATTCCTACTGGCTTCTTTGACCAGTAGAGCTAAAAATAAAAAACAGGATAGACAGAGTGATTACTATAAAACAAATTATTGGGGGGGGGGGGGGGGGGAGGAGGTTTATAAAAGATATAAAAATGCTGTCAACACTCTGTACAAGTATATAAATGACAAAATAAAAAAAAGGTTCTTTATACATGTACTATCAACCAGATTAAGCCTAAACCATAAAAAATGTTGGCACAAGCATTGCAAAACTATCACTATACTAAATATCTTTCAAAGTTTACATGTACCAGGCACAATTTATATAAAATTATCTTCCATACTTTAAGATTCTTAAATACATGTACATGTTTAACTGATTATTGATATCTGCATCAAAATTTGATTCAACTTTTTTTTGTTTACAGTGGTTTTAACAAAAACAGATACATGATAAAAATTTGACACAGTTTGGAAATCAATCATTCTATTAACCCTTAATGATTCCAGATAATCAGGCCATTTTTATAAGCATGTACTTCCCTATGAACCATCTGAATACAGATCAAGCTTTCTTTTCAATCTATAGGAAATCTCTTTTGGTCAACCAGTGAGTTTGTAAAATGCTGAAATCACACGTTGTTTATATTAACAAATGAGACCTCATGGCAGCCAGTTCTTTGTGGTGCTCCATTCTGAGGAAAAAATTTACACCACAAGTTTCTATGAGTCCAGAAAATCCTAAATCCCATATCATAGAGGTCTTTGAGAATGCTTAATCCCAGTAAATATTTACTGCCGTCTGGTTCGATCCTCAGTGTTATATGCAGCTCAATGGCAAACTGCCGCACGTCATTCAGTGCCCCTGAGCGGATCATATCTGGAAGGGCAGACCACTCCCACTCTTCAACGTCAACTTTGAGAACATCCAAGGGCCTCTGAAATGAGAAAACATGACTTTGATGCATGAACACAAACTTCAACTGTTAGAATTATTTGTTTCTTTCCATTATCTCGAAGTGGTTGTATCTTATGCATTTATTTTGGCAAAGCCAGGTACCATGCTTTAAAGCATTAAACTTAGGTTTAGTTCAGGATTATAATTAAAGCAAAAATCATGGGTAAAGCATTTGTTACATACATATATTGTGTACATTCCTGTTATTGTTCAAAACTTTTTCTTCATTTTTTTGCCTTCATTATTCTTCAACTGTCTAATGTATGCAAATCAAAGAAATAACAATCTCATATAATTCTTCATTTTCATAGTACCAGGTAATAAATATATGTATATGTATAAGGTAAAGGGACTTTATTAAAGACCATTTATTCTAAATCTCTTCTAAGTTTAAAATTATAATGTCTTCTGCTAATTAAATCAAATTTTACAATTAATTATTAATATACGGTATATGAATAATATTCTGTATATAAAAATAAAATCATTTTTAATGTTATGTCTGTATAATATATTATTTCCTGAATGTGATTATAATAATTCAATTCTTTTTAAATTGCCTTTTTTATACATGTTTATATACAGATACTTCATACATATGGATAATATAAAATAATACTAGCAGGGAATCTACATATTCTTTAATTGTTCTAGCATAAATACATAATTTTTTATACTACTGGTATACACATGTACACAATAATTTATGCAAATTAATACACCATTTAGCAGCATGCAAATCATCAACCATAGAGGGTGCAAAACTCACTGCAATCATGCATTTAAAAGAGAAATTAAGGCTTAAAATTTTTCACTAATCTTTAAAACAGGTGCCCTTTCTGGGTGTCGTTAGTTTTTTGTCATATGCTTGGTGTCATGGCACTTGCTAATTAACAAATCTTTTAATTCTACATGTTTTTCATTTCATTCTTCATTCACTTAGGACCAAAATAAACAAGAGACCTATGGGCCTTAATGGTCACCTGAGTGTTAAAAAGAACATTTTTCTGAGCCACATTATGTTTTTTTTATCTATGAACTAATATGTAAAACTTAAGTCCTAACACATCTCCATTTAGTCCAAAGGGGATGATTTTCACAAATAAGAATTGACATTAAATGCAGAAAGCTTCCTAATAATTTGATAAGTTGTAGCTTTGGGAATTTGACAATTTGTTGATAAGTTTTTTTTTTTAAAGAGATATCTCTCTTGCGCACTCTCTCGCTATATATGTTTTTATAAAAATTTCCTTAATATTTTTAATTTTTATTCAAAACATTTCCTAATCTTTTAATATAAAAATTTCCTGTAAATCTTTTATTAAATTTTATTGTCCCAATCCTGGATTTTTATCTTTAAAAGATGAGAAAAGTTTACAATTGAATGATGAAAAAAAAAATTGTCATTAATGGGCAAAAATCAATAAAATATGCCTGAATGGCTCAGGTGACATACCCCCCCCCCCCCCCCCCCTAAAAAAAACAAGAGGCCCATGGGCCACATCGCTCACCTGAGTAACTTTGGCCATGCTGTTCATTACCAGACTCCCCCCTTGTAATACCTATTGTGGCCCCACCCTCCCCCCAGGGGCCATGATTTGAACAATTTAGAATCTACACTACCCCAGGATGCTTCCACATAAGTTTCAGTTTTTCTGGTCCAGTGGTTCTTGAGAAGATTTTTAAAGATTTTTCCTATATATTTCAATCTAAAACTTGGGATTCCCCCTATTGTGGCCCCGCCCTATCCCCTGGGTCATGATTTGAACAATTTAGAGTGTACACTACTTGAGGATGCTTCCACATAAGTTTCAGCTTTTCTGGCCCAGTGGTTCTTGAGAAGAAGATTTTTAAACATTTTTCCTATATATTTCAATGTAAAACTTGTATTTCCTATTGTGGCCCCACCCTACCCCTGGGGGTCATGATTTGAACAATTTAGAATCTACACTACCCCAGGATGCTTCCACATAAGTTTCAGCTTTTCTGGCTAAGTGGTTCTTGAGAAGAAGATTTTTAAACATTTTTCCTATATATATTTCAATGTAAAACTTGGATTCCCTATTGTGGCCCCGCCCTACCCCCGGGGGTCATGATTTAAACAATTTAGAATCTACACTACCCCAGGATGCTTCCACATAAGTTTCAGCTTTTCTGGCTCAGTGGTTCTTGAGAAAAAGTTTTTTAAAAATTTTTCCTATATATTTCAATGTAAAACTTGTATTTCCTATTGTGGCCCCGCCCTACCCCCGGGGGTCATGATTTGAACAATTTAGAATCTACACTACCCCAGGATGCTTCCACATAAGTTTCAGCTTTTCTGGCCCAGTGGTTCTTGAGAAGAAGATTTTTAAAGATTTTTCCCATATATTTCAATGTAAAACTTGTATTTCCTATTGTGGCCCCGCCCTACCCCTGGGGGTCATGATTTATACAATTTAGAATCTACACTACCCCAGGATGCTTCCACATAAGTTTCAGCTTTTCTGGCTAAGTGGTTCTTGAGAAGAAGATTTTTAAAGATTTTTCCTATATATTTCAATGTAAAACTTGTATTTCCTATTGTGGCCCCGCCCTACCCCCGGGGGTCATGATTTTTACAATTTAGAATGAACACTATCCCAGGATGCTTCCACATAAGTTTCAGCTTTTCTGGCCCAGTGGTTCTTGAGAAGAAGATTTTTAAAGATTTTTCCTATATATTTCAATGTAAAACTTTGATTCCCTATTGTGGCCCCGCCCTACCCCCGGGGGTCATGATTTTTACAATTTAGAATGAACACTATCCCAGGATGCTTCCACATAAGTTTCAGCTTTTCTGGCCCAGTGGTTCTTGAGAAGAAGATTTTTAAAGATTTTTCCTATATATTTCAATGTAAAACTTGTATTTCCTATTGTGGCCCCGCCCTACCCCTGGGGGTCATGATTTGAACAATTTAGAATCTACACTTCCCCAGAATGCTTCCATATAAGTTTCAGCTCTTCTGGCCCTGTGGTTCTTGAGAAGAAGATTTTTAAAGATTTTTCCTATATATTTCAATGTAAAACTTGGATTCCCTATTGTGGCCCCGCCCTACCCCCGGGGGTCATGATTTTTACAATTTAGAATCTACACTACCCCAGGATGCTTCCACATAAGTTTCAGCTTTTCTGGCTAAGTGGTTCTTGAGAAGAAGATTTTTAAAAATTTTTCCTATATATTTCAATGTAAAACTTTGATTCCCTATTGTGGCCCCGCCCTACCCCCGGGGGTCATGATTTTTACAATTTAGAATGAACACTATCCCAGGATGCTTCCACATAAGTTTCAGCTTTTCTGGCCCAGTGGTTCTTGAGAAGAAGATTTTTAAAGATTTTTCCTATATATTTCAATGTAAAACTTGTATTTCCTATTGTGGCCCCGTCCTACCCCTGGGGGTCATGATTTGAACAATTTAGAATCTACACTTCCCCAGAATGCTTCCATATAAGTTTCAGCTTTACTGGCCCTGTGGTTCTTGAGAAGAAGATTTTTTAATGACCCCACCCTATTTTTGTCTTCTCTTGATTATCTCCCCTTGTGAGGGGACTTGGCCCTTCATTTTTACAATTTAAATTCCCCTTTACCCAAGGATGCTTTGTACCAAGTTTGGTCAAAATTGGCCCAGTGGTTCTTGAGAAGAAGTCAAAAATGTGAAAAGTTTACAGACGGACGGACAGACAGACGGACGGACGGACGACGGACAAAATGTGATCAGAAAAGCTCACTTGAGCCTTCGGCTCAGGTGAGCTAAAAAGAGTTGAAAATCAAATTGCAAATTATAAATTTTATCAAGAATATCAAAACAACATGCTAAATATTACTTTCTGCATGCTTTACAGTTTATATTGTTGATTCTACCTTGGTAAATTTGACTGAATGAAATATATCATGTGGACATCTTTGCACACACCTTTGAGGGGCTTTGTCGTGTTTATTGATTTTTCAGAAATTAATATACTTCCAAATCTTCACAGACTCTCTTTACTAGAAAACTGACAGAGTCATACAGGATCCATATCAAAAACCTTCATCTGTTGACCCTCATATGCGATACTTTGACCCTTAAATCTAAATATATCTTTCTTTAACCATCCCCCACTTTTGCTATGGAAGTATTCATTCAGAAGCACAAAGGACTTGATTACCTTGAACTTTTGACCTTAACCTTGATTCAGTGACTCTAAAATCGGTGATTTCCTTTACATGTATAGATCTGTGTAATTAATACTAATTTTAACTTTTAACTGAAAAAGAATTCTTAATACATGTAGTAAAACTTGTATCTTCTAAGAAATTTTGAAATCTTGTTCTTATGACCTTGACCATTTAATGAGTAACCCCAGAACTTTATTCATTGTCAAATTATGCAATGAATATAAATACTTTTAGTTAAGAAGCAAGTGAATTCTCATGTACATGTATTCCTACATGAGATGACACCTGATTGGACAGCCGAATTGGAGGACAGATAGACACAGTGATTACTGCAGAGATCAAATAACAGAGATTTTTTTTTTTATTTGGATTTTTTCCCCAAGTTTCAAGACAAAAAAAAGGTTCACCTTGAGCTATATACTTACTTGATATATAAGTAGGGTTCCAAAAAATCCAACACTCCTTCTGGGAAAACCACGCGGCTTTTTTATGACATGTTTAGTGAGCAATATTAAACAGTGGTGTGTTTGTATGGGGAAAACTTTGACAACAAACAAGAAAAAACATAGAGACAGCATGGAAGGATAAAAAAAATGAATACACAAATCAGACATGCAAAGTGATTTCAGAAATATGATAAGTGATGATGAATCATCTGTTTTATTAATAGTATTTAGTTTATATAATGCCAGTTCACTTTTCACTTGAAAAAAAAAATACACATTTCTTATCTTTGTAAATTTCGTGAACAGTTTGTCTTGCTGATAATTTTTATGAACTTTTTAAATCCCAAAGACTTCCCA